CTTTTTCGCTTTTCCATAAATTTTTAGCTTTTAAATATGTGCCATCACAAAATTGCAAATGCAAATCAAGTTTAAAAACAAATCAATTTGTCTAGTTTTCGGGAAATATTCCAACCACAAATGAAAGTGTTCACAATTTCGCACATATCAAACTGTTTGCGGTTGGCCAAAAAAATGCTCTCTGCCCCGCAAGAAATGGTAATTTAAAATATTGTGTATTAATTAAGGTGTGGCAGCCCAGTTAGAATATGGCTGATGCAGAACGAAATCAAGAGTTGGTTCCCTGGAATGTCTCGACCGAGTTGTTTGAAATTTGATGCCTGAGGCAACGGCATGCAATTGCCCCGAATAGCAATTAAATTTTCGCCTCAAATTGCACAAATTGACATCGAAAATAAATTCCCTGCCTGTAGCAGCAGCAGCAGCAGCAGCAGTTGCAGTTGCAAATGGAGCAACAAGAACAAAAGACTGCAGAACAGTTTAAAGGACTCGCATTAAGTCGCTTCCTTTTGCCAGCCAGCTGGCTCAGTTTCCCACTCCTTCGGGGGTCCAGTGCATCATTCCGTGACCTCCTTTTCCCCGACTTTTCCCTCCGCCAAACGGAGGAGTGCCAGGAGAAGTTAGTGCTACCTGAAGTTTAGACCAAGTTGTCGGCAGGCGCTTCTCGTGTTGCCTAAACAGATTAAGCTCCAAACACATGTGCTTTGCAATTTTACGCGTTGCCACTACCGCACTCGCCAGCTCCCCTCCTTCCCCCTGAATCCCGATCCTGAGCCAGGACCTCGGATTCCGGATTGCGGAGTTGCGAGGCCCGAGGCCATGGCATAACCGCCGCATTAATTCCTAGTGCCAGACACCTTTCTCGTTAGCGGTTTCCCCAACTTATTTAATTTCACAGAGCCTCGACCACGACGCCTCAACTTTGCTTGCTTTGAATTTTGCGTGCGCGGAAAATCCCCGGTCGGGAAACCCAGGCGGAAAAGCGGATGTGGCCCGGCAAAGTTAAACAGCTTTCCCAACTGTTGAGGTGTGTGTGTGTGTGTGGGTGGGTGTGTGTGTTGTGTTTATTCGAATCCCGAATCGTCGACATCTTGTTTCGCCCTATTTAATTATCGAATGCATCAGCAACAGTTGCCGCTTTTGAGGGCCACTTTTTTGGCCAAAAACTCCTCACGTTCATCGCGACCCGCAGGCACCCGCTTTTCACATTTCCCCATTTTTCCCGAAAAATTTCCCGTGTATAATTTATGGTCTGCAACGGATTTGCACGCGGCCTTAGTTAAGGCTAACGAATGCGCATACGTGCGCTCACGTAGCGGTAAAGATAAGGGGACAAACTATACGTTCTCCTATATATATGTTCTATATATATGTATGCTGGATGGCTGATATCGGACTGGACGGCAGATACCTCGGGCGAAGGCCAGGACGAACATGTTAACAAGGATTCATCCCTGCGCCCTTAAACGGTGGAATTTAAGCCGGAGTTAAGTTGTGGCTTTCTGTTTATTTATGTGAATATATTCTGAAATATTTTAGCAGAGCGAACGATTCTAATCCATACTCCACAATTTAAGCTTTTAAAATAAATAAATACCGAACATAGCAAACTTCAATTACTTTTCAAGTTTTTGGAAAATCATTTCGCGTTGAATGAGTTTAATCACATTACGGAAATGCCATTAAAATCATAAACATCCACATAATTAAACAGCATGAAAAATGCCCCGGGACTAAACTGCCATCCACATGGCTGTTGATTTTTGAAATTCGATTTGGTGAGGCTTCTGGCATTTGTTGTAATAATTTTATACATTTCATGCAAAGCTGAGCTTGGATAGAGTTCAAATTCCATTGTCAGATCAGAGGGCTCTTGGCACTCGCTGCTCCGGGCATAATTAAACGCTGTGGAATTTCATTATAAAACTCGCAGACATTTGCCAGATGCCAGGCTCTTTTTCGCCGGAGTAGATGGCAATCGACTAGAGGTGAGCCCGCCAGCCAGTTCTCAAGTTTTACACACTAAAATGTCATTATGCTGCACTTGAGAAGGGGATTAAATAGAATTAAGTATAATATATATAAAAGAAAGTGTACTTTGCTATTAATTCGGTTTTGAAATCACACTCCCATCTCTAAAGCCAACTCCTTGAGGCCTTTCATTCGGGAGTGAAACAACTTCGCGGGGTTATTTCTTTCGCTGCTCGCAAATACTTCCCTCAAGTTTATTTTATATTGAAATTCGCTCGTTAGGCGGTAATTTTCCTTGCGAAGTCAGTTTCCCCGGCAGTCAGTTTTCCCCCAAACTTCGCCGGGGAAACCCACTCGTGCACTGGCTGGCCGGCCCTTCGACCGAGTTGATTTTTCACAATTTCCGGTCAAGCGAAAGCTGCTCGGCACCAAATGGCGGAAACGTAATTTGGCCATTGGCCATTATTTTCGGCTCTGACCGCAAAGCCAATGCGAACTCATCGTCCTTCGAAGGACGTGGCCCGGTGTCCATGGCCTCATCATAATCGAAGCCACGGAGCTGAAGGACTGCGCCACAATGCGGTTTCCGCTGCCAGCTGATTGGCTTCCGTTTCCGCTAATTTTTGGAAAAGTTGGCGCCGCTTTTCGGCCTCTCGGCTCCTCCTCGCTTTCCCCATGTGTCCAGTAGTAGTAGTTTTCCGGCCAGCGAGGCATTTAAGGATCTCCGGAACAGTTGATTAGGTTCGCAGCTCATTGCAGAGGCTTTCGAATGCCAATCAGCACTGATAAACTGACCGAGAGTGAGTGGAATGGAGTTCTTTTAAATCATTTGCGATACATCAGGAACGACATGTTGTTGCAACAAAATCAGCGACTGCAGATATAGAAATGAAAACCCTGCAGCTTGTGAACCAATTCGAAATCCTTTTCGTCCATCTACACATTTCTCGCCGGACTCTTTTATTGCCCTGCACACTCGCTGTTCGCTGTGTCTAAGCACATCAAATATGTATTCGGAATGGAAATTTAAAACCTTATTACTGCCAGAGTGGAGAGCGAAAAAATATAAATATTTTATGGCGAAAATATTGCAGCTCGGATAGGGACAATGTATGCACATCTGACCCGAGTCCTGGCAAGGACACACAGCTCGACTGCGAAGTCGGACCAAATCCAAACGCCTTGCCCGGCGTTTCGTCCCTTTTTAAATTGTGTAACAAATTGTTCCCCGGGGACGAATTTGGATTAAGTAAAAAAAGGGTTTATTTACGATGCCATACATAACGGCCGTCCGTCCGTTCGATCGTCCTTCTCCATCTCTCCTTGGCCGCCTTGGTCCTTTTTTTATTACGTGCCCAATACTCAATTTGGCCATATTTAAATTCATCGTCTATTCCAGCCAGCCGGCGGCCATTTCGTATGCACAAGAAGCAAGTTCCAGCTGCGAAGGCAAGTTCCCCGGGTTCCCAGGAGGAGTCGGTTCGGTCGGCAGATCTATTGAGTGGTTATTCGAATTGAACTTTGAGGTTGGATTCGCTTCATTTTTACGTTATTTATTATGCCCAAAGTTGGCCCCCAGGCTCCCGAGCAGAGTGTTGAAGTGAAGTGAAATGAAATACGGGTGCAATCCATACAAAAACCCAGCAACACAAGAGCAAAAACCCAGAAATGTTTAGGCCAATGTTGTTGGCCGGGTCGTACATTCTGGCCATAGGTGGGCCAAAAACTTGTTTACACAATTCTCCACCGCCGTCGTTGTCCTTGTGCTCCTTGTTCTCCTTGTTCTACTCTGTAAAACAGGCGCCGCTGGGTCGAAGGGAAGGAGCTGAGCAGAAATTTGCAAACAATTTAGTTGCGACGCGACCAGCTGGCATCTTGATAATATTTCGATTTATGCCCCCGAAATCCTGTTTACCCCATAGAGATTGGTCCGCGGAAGGACAGAGGCGTGGGCAGTGGGGGACTGACTGGCCTAGAGTTTCTCTGTTCGCGCACAAGAGTTTAGCTCCAGTCCTTAAATGATCAATCCGGATCTGCATTCTAGAGTTTTTATTACTTGCGTTTATCTCAAATCCACTTGTGTGCACCAAGAGAAGTAAAGGATATTAAAGTAAAGTATAGAAAATGTTGTATATATTTTTTTCTATTCCTGATAGGCAGATACTTGAATTTTTTGAGATATATGAATAGATACTGCCTTTGGTCCATTTATGAATAATTTCATAGTATAGATAATAACAGGGGAAGTCGCAACTTTGAAGGTTCAACTTGCAAAGCGGAAACGTTGTCGTATTTTCCCCGAAGTGTAGTGAAAATTCTTTGTTTTTACTTCTCGGTGAAGTGAAAACTTTTCGCCAGAACTTTTTGCGGTGGTCCGCCCACCAGCCCACAAGGCCACAAGCCCAGAAGCCCGGAAACCCAGGCCTGTCACACACGGTAAACTTCAAACTGTAACGAGACGGAACTGATGTCACCTGAGCTGGCTGCCAAGGCTTTTGCGCTCAATTTGACAGACAGCAGTGGGTTTGGTATTGGGATTGGGATTGGTACTGGAAATGGGACTGGGATTGGGTCTGGGCTTCGGATTCCGTGGCTGGGCTGCGGATGAGCTCGTTACTAAGTTCGAAACCGAGACATCTGTCCAGGTTGTCCTCCCAGTCCCGCTCGTCCTCGTTATCCTGGTTGTCCTGACCGACCGGATACGTTGACAGCCAAACGAATTTGATGGATACGAGTGCAATCCACTAAAATACTTGTCTCCATTGCAATCACATCCAGCTGAGGAGTTGTTTTTCGGAATTGAGCAATAAACATGGGAGTATTTATCGGCTGGGTTGATAAAGGAGTTTATAGAATATGTGAATCTGTTATTTGTTTTTCGAAATATATATGTAGGTACCTATTTGTTGTGGTGTTTTTGAGGTGAACAGTCTTCGGGGAAGCACTGAAGTAATCAGAATTTTAGCGATAGGGGATGCCGAGTATTTCCAGATGTATATAAACAAATCAACTCAGTCTTAGCTCAGCAATTCCCTAGAACAGAAGTCATGCAGCGCCATAAATCGTTCTCAATTTTAGTTATCAGTTTATTAGCAAGTATAAATGCTGAAAAAGTTTGCGAAATATCAACGATTTGTGGCAATGCAGCATCCATAAGATCTCAGATGATTGCCGTGCGGTGGGTTTTTCTCAATCAAAATTATAAATTACATAAATTAGATTTTAATTAATTTTTAGCGTGGAGCAAGAGCGCCATGGAGAACTTTTAGATGACTTGAGCTCAAAACTAAGTAGTTGCCTATCAAAAACCGGGTTAACTACTCAACTATATGGAAAGAGTTGTGCCGAACCTTCGGTACTCACCCAGCACAGTGAAATCAACGTCGTCGTGGTGCCGGAGTACAGTGAACACCCCTTTGTGGTGGCCTGCGATCAACTGAGTCACGGAGGCGGGTGGACCATCTTTCTGCGGCGAACCGACGGCAGCGAGGACTTCTTCCGGGATTGGAATGACTACAAAAACGGTTTTGGGAAGTTGGAGAACGAGTTTTTCCTGGGACTCGATAAGCTGCACGCCATAACTTCATTACAAAGCCAAGAACTGCTGGTTCTGCTCGAGGATAATGAGGGAGATCGGCGATACCAGCTGTACGACAACTTCAGGATCGGATCAGAGCAGGATGGCTTCGCCCTGGAGTCCTTGGGCAACACTTCGGGTAATGCAGGAGATGCCATGGCCACTCATTTGGGTCAGAAGTTCACCACCAAAGACCGCGACAACGACAAGCACGCCACGCTGAACTGCGCCACAAATTACAACAGTGCTTGGTGGTACAACGCCTGTCATCACAGGTAAATACTTCTACTAGAAATGTTTTATATTCACTATTTTATTTTTTTTTTCTTCAAGCAACTTGGCTGGCAAATACGGCGACAACACCCATGGAAAGGGCATCAACTGGTATCAGTTTAAGGGGCACACCTACTCGCTAAAACGTGCGCAAATGATGATAAGACCGAAAAAGCAGTGCCATTAATTGATAAGAGTAAAATATATATTAAACTAGTAAACCCGGCGAACTCCGTTTCGCCACCAGAACGTACTCTTCTGGCATTCACTGTACTACGACCTATGCTCCAACAACGTCGTCTTTCAAACATGTCTTTATAATTTCTGTACAAAATTTACTCAGTTCTAGACTCATGTATAATTACCTACTGACTTGGCAATGTATAAGCGGAAAAAAAAATTATTAAAACGTTAAAACATATTGTGAGTCTAACCATCCTCAAACCCCCCGGAATACACACAAAAAATTTCATCAAAATCGGTTCAGCCGTTTAGGAGGAGTTCAATGACTAACACAAGTACAGAAGTTTTTACAGAAGATTTCCCGTATAATAAAAAAAAAGTAATTCCTTTTCCTGGTCCTAAGCTACCTCCCTACCAATTTTCAGCCAAATCTGTTCAGCCCTTCTTGAGTTATAAGTGGTGTAACTAACATGACTTCCTTTTATATATAAAAAATATAAATATATATATTTATTGTGGTGTTTTTGAGGTGAACAGTCTTCGGGGATGCACTGAAGTAATCAGCGTTTTAGCGATAGGGTTTGCAAGTATTTCTAGATGTATATAAATAAATCAAATCAGTCTTAGCTCAGCAATTCTTTAGAACAGAAGTCATGCAGCGCTGTAATTTGTTCTCAATTTTAGTTATCAGTTTATTAGCATATATAAGCGGTGACAAATATCAATCATCAACACGATTTCAGGTGATTGCTATACGGTGGGTTTTTATTCAATCAAAATTATAAATTACATAAATTAGATAATTAATACCATTTTAGGAAGATGCAAGAGCGTCATGGAGAAATTTTAAATGACTTGAGTTCGAAACTGAACAGTTGCCTGTCCCAAACCGGACCAACTACTCAACTATATGGAAAGAGTTGTGAACCTTCGGTACTCACGCAACACAGTGAAATCAACGTGATCGTGGTGCCGGAGTACAGTGAACGCCCCTTTGTGGTGGCCTGCGATCAACTGAGTCACGGAGGCGGGTGGACAATCTTTCTACGGCGAACCGACGGCAGCGAGGATTTCTTCCGGGATTGGAATGACTACAAAAACGGTTTTGGGAAGTTGGAGAACGAGTTTTTCCTGGGACTCGATAAGCTGCACGCCATAACTTCATTACAAAGCCAAGAACTGCTGGTTCTGCTCGAGGATAATGAGGGAGATCGGCGATACCAGCTGTACGACAACTTCAGGATCGGATCGGAACAGGATGGCTTCGCCCTGGAGTCCTTGGGCAACACTTCGGGTAATGCAGGAGATGCCATGGCCACTCATTTGGGTCAGAAGTTCACCACCAAAGACCGCGACAACGACAAGCACGCCACGCTGAACTGCGCCACAAATTACAACAGTGCTTGGTGGTACAACGCCTGTCATCACAGGTAAGGACTTCTACTAGAAATGTTATTTATTTACTATTTAATTATTTTTCATCAAGCAACTTGGCTGGCAAATATGGCGACAACACCCATGGAAAGGGCATCAACTGGTATCAGTTTAAGGGACACACCTACTCGCTAAAACGTGCGCAAATGATGATAAGACCGAAAAGGTCTTAGAATTAGGTCATTAGAAGCATCATGTGTTGATTTTACTTATTGATGCTTTTCAAGAGAATGATTTGATGCAGTTGCTGATTAGCCAGGTTAAAGTGCTTGTAACCTATCGCCTATAAAACACATAATAAAGACTTACTATAAATGATTTAAACGATTCAGGTTTCTATATCGAGCTCTGGTTTTCGCCCCAAGAACTCCTGTGATTTCGCATTCATCCATTGAAAATCTAGGGGCTGTCAGGGCGGCTGATGATTAAGTAATTAGCGAAAGGCTGGCAAACGAGGCCAATTAGCTGGAGAACGGAAATTAAGCACACATCACATTAGCCAGCGATGCGATCAAGGGCCGTTTGAGGGCTCGAATCTGAAAACTGAAAACTGAAAACCGAAAGCAGAAAACTGGAAGCATGAAGCTCGAAGCTCGAAGGGCTGGCTGCATTTCTTTGGCGCTTTTTTGTGTGGCAATTAGTGCGCCCCGCCGCACTTGCCACCGTAGCTGGGGACCTTGGCAGCCGCACTTTCCCCACTTTCCCGACTTTCCCGGGGGACGGGGGCCGCAATCCCAAGCCCGGCAAGGAGCTGCATAAAGCGCACATTGAAAATTAATTGCGCCCAGCGAGTGTGCGAGTGTATATCGTGTGTGTGTGTGTGTGTGTTTTTGCAGGTACGTGCGTGAGCAGCAGACCGCAGGATCTGGAGGACGAGGAGCGGAGGAGGAGGAGGAGGTGTTGTGGAATGGGGTGGCCAGGACCCCAATGCGGTGGCCGCGCGGTTCGCCTTTTATGAAAAATTAATTTGCCCTTTGTACCGCAATAATATTCCCCTTGATCCCGGCGAAATTCCCCTTCGCTGTGCTGGCAACCGGAGCGTATGATTAATTTTTTGTCCCGGCCCGAACAAAGTGTTGCCTCGAAGATTTTTCGGTGCTTGCCGCGCTCGAGTGTTCCGCATTCACATGCCAATTAAACTCCATTGATAAATGGTTCTGTTCTCAAAGCAAACTCTTATTTTTGTACTTATTGGAATATTTTTATGTATGTTTATCAAATAAATATAATTTTTAAGACATAGCTTTGCAACAAATGCAAAAGCTAAAGTTATGAAGTGGGATGTAGTTGTCATGTTTCTGTTTTTGAGAAGCCAACTGCAAAGAATCATGTGCAGGCCCAAAACTTATTTCCCATCACATCGAGGAGGAATTCCGCACTCGAACGTGTAATTCCGTAAAACTTCTCGCTCTGTTTAGTTTTGGCACAAGTGCAGCAGCTTGGCCAACACTTTTGCAGCCAGATAGAATGGAAAATGGCAATGGAAATGGAAACTACTGTTCTGCACCGCAACAAACAATGCATATCTCGCAACACCACAAGAACATCTCCGATGACAACGACCCAACCCGACGGTTCCCCAGTAAGTTCTTGCAAAACTTTTCACAATGTCGGGTGTCTGGGTCCCTTTTTTTTGGCAGATTTTTATTTTTACTTTTAGGGTTCCCCACATTAGAGCAGGGAAACCGCAGAAAATTATGCAACACAATATGAAATGCATTTGAAAGACAAGTGAATCTTGTCAAGTGGCAGGGCAGAACGCCAGGGAGCCGGAGCTCGGAGCACCGAGCACTTGAGTCGGTGCTTTAATCAAAAGTCAAATATTTCATGCCAGCCGGACAGGCTGTGGAAAATCCCCCCTCTGCCCGTAAAGCACTCCCACATCCTCATCCACATTCACATGCACATCCACATCCACTGCCATTCCTCGTCTGGTGGAGCGGAGCATCTGCTGTCGGGATGCAAATGCAGCCGCTGCTAACCCGCACAATAGACACCGCCGTCAACGCCTCGTCTTCCCTGCACGCCGGAAAAGTTTCCAGCTCAGCTTTATAGCCTACACTTCGAGAAAAATGTGATAAAACAAACAATAATGATAGCTACTTTTAATTTAAAAGGGTCAAAAGAAGTTAATATGCCATTATACGTTTCTCATTATCAAATTAATGAAATAAAATATATAAAACATATTTCTGTTTCCACATCAAGTCCCTGCTTTTTTCTCGAAGTGCACCTTCTCCGGGATCACAGTGAAACCCAGGGCTTGGGGAATGACCCGCATGCCTGCGCACTTGCAGCCACTTCGGATGACTCCGGCTTGGCTCATGACTCCGGCCGTAGAGCCTTCAGCCTCTCCCACATCCTCCCACTTACCCCTCCCTCATCCAGTACGTACGATACGTACTGTACAGTGTACACCCCTCGCCGGAGAAGGCTGGCTGCTTTCATGGAAATTACATTTTTGCACTGCCGTCGACTGCGAGTCGTCGTTTTGGTTGTCGTTGTCGTCGTCGCTGCTGCTACTCAAGTAAATGCAAATATTTCTCATTTCTCTTACGAAAATTGTCAAATGTATTCAAAAATGTGCGCCGCATGCGAAATCTTTGTGAATATGTATGCGGCCGTCTGCATCCCAGTTCTTTATTTGGATTCCAATGCAAATCAGAGATGCAGGGATTTCAGCTCTTAAAATTACATGGCCGAATCATGGGAAATTGGCTTTAGCCACATAAATTCATGCGACTTTTCGATTTGATTTTTATTTGGAACAATAAATTGTTTATTCAAGTATTTCTATTGTTCACTCAAAGCAACTCATCTTTTGTACTCTTCAACTACAAGTCATCCTGCAATTTATTAATTAATTTGTCGTGTTGGTTTTCCACCCTGCACTTAAAAATCAAAACTGTGGTTTTTGGTTTCTAACTTCGGCCAAATGCGAATTGTTTAATTAAAATTGTAATTAGGCTAATTGCCAGGTGACCAAAGCCACAATAATATTTTTAGTCAATTACAAATTATTATAAGAGCTCAGTGTACTAATTTATAAAGCCAATGTATTTATTCGGGCTTTAAGTCTGTGGGTTTGGAAATGTATTTCCAACATTAGGGTAATTAAATTGTGAGCCCACCTGGCGGATCTCAATCTTTTCGGGTTCATCTGAGTTTTAAAAGTATTTTATGTGAAATTACGGCTTAAGGGGTAATTTAATGTTGAGTTTTTATGCCTTTTCCTAACCCTCTTAAGGGTTTAAAACTTTTTAAAATCTTTTGTTGAAAGCGTTGTCTTGTTGATCTCTGCATAATTATAGTCATTAAAATTTTAGAGCGACCCTTTCGCAGTTGGAATTTAAGCCTTGATTAAAACCTTTCAATCTGCGGACTTCATTCACTTTATGTGGGCCTTGCCATTAAGTTGTTTCGATTAAATTTAACCCTATTTATGATTATTTCCACACCATTACATATCCTAATTGATTTTCCATTCGCATCAAGCTTGTCAATGCAATAAAAGCTTTTGATACAAATATACACAGACTCAGATACGCGATGCATAATTTGCTGATATTTTCGTTCAGTTTGTTATTCATTTTCCGGGAAACATAAACAGACACGATTCCACTATAATGGCAACTTGGCCAGCTGTTTAAAAATGAATGCAAATGGGTATGTAATTAAATATATTAATTAAGCGACCAACAACCAGACAAAAGAGGCACTTAATATCGAAATGATGTGGGGAATAACCCCCACAACTGAATCAACGCTATTAAAGCGATAAAGTATTTTTATGCTTAACAAGTACAAATGAATAGTTGGCGAGTTTAAGTTATTATTTCAATTATCGCATCATTGAATGGCACATCAAATCTGAAATAACAAACAATTTTACCTGTTTTGCACCAGAAACTTTGCCAGAAGACAAAATAAAAACTGTTTTTATTTATGGTATTCGACTTTGCTTTATTTATTACATGCATTTGTTGTTCCAGCAATACTTTTTAAACTGTCAAAAAACTACCGAACAAAACCATAAAATATTTGCCCTCAGCATTCTGCAGCATCCTTGCCAAAGGATTGATACACATTTTTCATCTCTTCGCATTTGTAGGTGCAATAAATACAATTTCAAAACAAATTCATGTGGGATTTTTCGTTATGCTGTTATAAATCTTAGCTTTGACTTGCTCGGCAGAATTTGTATATGAATTCAATTACCTAAAAGGTATGATTCAAACAGAAAATATTTATATAAAAATGTAAAAATTTGTTTTATATGAGTACTACAAATTAAAAATTTTACTCGTAGTTTTTAAACGATTTAAAGAGTATTTTCGGTAATAAAAATTAGGTTTTTTTATACAACTTCTCAACTCTTATACAAAAGTTTGTCTCACAATCCACACGACTACAAAGCTACAACATTTTGTAGCTTGTGGCCCAACCACTGCGATGTAGCTGCTGAATTGGTGGTGAGTTTCAAATCAAATGGCTGAATGCGAGTGAAGAGTTTTAACAGACTGTTCGATAACAGAAAAAGTGTTTTAAATTTATTTTATGTAACAGAAATATTTGAAATATTTAATTGAAATAATAAATTTGAAAATAAAAGGATTTTGTTAATTTCTTTATCCATTTCGTAAATGAATAATGTGTTTTTTAATCACTCAATATTTATAATATTTTTATGCATACCAGCCCATCGCACTCTTTAAATATATTACGAATTAGTCATATACAATCCCATACATATTTTTGTGGCTAAAACATTCCCTGTGAATCCTGTTAAAAATTCAATATAGAAATCTTTTAAAGAGGAGATGTATGGAGTGGGTTTGGGGTTGGGGAAATGCGTTCCAATTATAAGTGATATTTCAATGACAGGCCGCAGAGCGCAGCAAACGAGACGCTTTCCTCTTTCGACTCGTCCGTCAATCAATGTAAATGCAAAAGAGACATTTTTATTTGGCCAATTCTAGACCCGGACCCCAAACTCCCATCCAGTTGCGATAGACTGGTGTCAGTGTCCCTGGTGGAAACAAGGAGTCAAGTTGGACTCCGACTAGGCCTTCTTCATCCGTCACGGTCCTCCGATCAAATTGAATTGACATGTGTGACTCGGCTTGCATTCGGCCGGAGTCTGAGTCAGAGCTTCGCAAATGTCCGGACGGAGGACTCCGGACTCCTGACTCCGGAATTCCCCCTGCCAAAATGAGCAAGTGCCGGAGTTTGGAGTTTGAATGAGTCATGTAACCGAGAAACGAAGCTTTAACTTGCCATGTGAACGAACTCCGGCCGCAATAAATTTCGAATGGAGCCAGCCGAGTGCTGAATTGAGGAACGGAATTCAGAAAGCCACATTCCTGCTGCACTTAAGTTTATTTCCCTCTGCAGAGTCAACACAATCAAATCAAGTGAATGTGTGCGGCTCCCCGGAGATTGTAAGTTCGATTGCAGTGCGTTTATTTGCGGAGACTCCTCGGCAAAAGTCAATTGACTCAATAAATTATTTTTAAGGCAATCAGACGTACTTCTGCGACGAAAAATGCAATCTCGAACTTTCGTAGTTTATGCCTTCGGGGAGTGTTGCGCCAACATATTTGGCAGAAAGGTACGACTTCCCCCTGACTGACCAGCACATCATTTACTTTTAAAAGTTCATCATGCAAATAAAGTGAATCAAGGAAAACTTTTCAGTATTGATTCGAGAACTTGATTAATTAGTCAGGCACTTTGTTCTGTGTTTTATAACCATATGTTGGCCAACCAATAATTTATTTGAAGATAGTCAACTTAAGCCTTGCCATATGTGTTCTCCTCAGCCAATAAATCAATTTAAGCACTCATTTATTGCATTTCACAACGAAGACAATTAAAGAGAATATTAGTTTTTCATTTGGCCAAGGAGAAGGCTCTTAATCAGTGCCAAGGCAATGCTGACCATGTGAATGTCATCTGCGTCTGGATTGAGCAATTCGAAGTATTTTCAATTACATTCGACCCGGATAAGTTGTGGCTGCTCACAAGTGAAATTAGCCAAATTACCGGGCTAAACGGAGGCCGGTCGACAAGTCGTCTTGTTTGCGCTTAAAATTTAATTTCACGCACAATTGAGTTCATGCATAATTTCTGGCCGGGGTGATAAATTATTGCTATTATTGCACACGGCGGCCTTTGGTTTGGGAGAACTGTTTCCCGGAGCCACAAGCTGACCATGCCACATTGCGTTGCAGGGGGGTGAGGAGGGGGAAGGGAGCAGAAGGGAATGGGAGGGGCATCTGGAGGAATCGGCGCAGGGACATGGGCAAAATAATGACCCTTCCCAACGTCGTTGTTACTGCCAGGCTCGTTGGCTGCGTTCATTAATTCGCTGCCATAAAACCCGGCCAGGGCATATTTTGCCTAGCCGGAATTTGCATACTTTGTGCACTAAGAAAAAAGATTTTAAAAACCTAAAAGAATAGAAGGTATATCTAAAATTAATTGTAATTTTTTGGGATGTAAATAGATGTATATAAAGGTAACAAAAACTGAAGTAGATTCAATTGCTTATACAGAATATAAATATAAATAAATTATTTAAATGAAGTAAGTCTCATAGCATTCTGAATTATTTCCTTTTTCTAGATCCCTACTTTTCAGAGTGCACTGGGAGGCGATGAAGTTACAGGAGGCACCTGTTACCGCGCCGCAAGACTCGAGCCATGGAGCCAGGATCCTGGCCAAAACGCCTACAACACATGTCTGCTCATAATTAATGTGTAAATTGTAAAGCTCCGCTCGCCCACTTTGCCACCTTCCCATTTCCCCACTTTCCTCCGATTTTCCTGTTTCCTGCTCCACAGCGAACTATTCCATTGTGGCCATGTTGAACAGCGGAGGCAACCAGCGCGACAACAACCGAGCTACCGAGGCACCGGTGCACCGATGGCCCGGCTTCCGTGGGCTGTTCTAGCCGGGTTAATACAAAAACAGCAACATCAATAAACAAGCCAGCCCCCAGCGGCCCCACTAAATGCGTTATGACGCCGAACGAACTTAATTGCATCCACGTAGGCTTCGTTCACCTGGCGTCCAACGTCCATCCGCTAAAACAAAGCTCGCTCTGAATCACTTACACTTATTTATGGGCTTTGATTGTTCCACTCGCTCGGCAATACTTGGGTTCACCTGGGGTTGGCTATAGTAATTTCCATATGGGACTACCCCAACGGTATTTTTATATCAATGATAAACATATAAATTATTTATAGCCGGTCATTCCCCTCATTTAGGAAATAATATACTTCATAAAAATATAACTATACATACAGATATATAATGGCAAATTAATTGTTCTATAACAAGCATTATAAAAAAAACAAATTCTGGTTCATCATCTTCTCATCCATCATAAACGAATATGATTCACCTTTTACTTTTTTTTTCTAAATCGTCTAAATTAACTTAAGTTGAAAGCCAGCTTACGGATATAGCTATCACGTTTTGTTTATTATATTAAACAGTTCAATATTCTTCGGCATTCAGGATTTCGTAGGTGAGATCCTTTCGCTCTTGGTACAACTTACAGTAACTATTAAGGGTAAGAAGAGCATCTATGGCACTTGGCAGTTCAAAAACTAAGCGACGTCTTCCGCGCTTCACAACTCGAAGGCTATAGACAAGTTCCGGGAGATTGAGATCCTCAACTAATGCCTTGTTCAATCTGTCCAGAGGATCCGACACTTTCTTGTAGCTGATGAAAATCATGCACACTTTGCCAGATGACTCGGTGAACTGAAAGTCGCGGCACTTATCCACGCTTTTCGGATCACTCGTTACCCATACGCCCCGTTGTCCGTTGAAGTTACCAGCCTCCGATCCTTTTCCATTTGCAAGCGGTTCCCAAAGAGGATTCTCCCGGTTGCTGCGATCATCCGATGAGGGGAACACGAAGTCAGTAACGTAAGTGGGCTTGGAATCTGTTATATTGTATTTAATGTAGTTATTAAATAATTATAGACAATTTATAGACTTACAAGCGAAGCAACTGCCCAGCGAAATGAAAAGGGCGATCGAAAGAATTCCCAATAATTGCAGTTCGCGCATTGCGGCAGTAACCTGTTTCCGATCCGAGATGCCAAGTTGTACTGATTGAAGTATATTCTCAGTTGTGGAATTAGCCAACTAAAGAGAGCTCAATGCTAAACTCTTTGAATTTGTGTGTAGTTATCTCCGCGAGATTTGTTCTTTGATTGTGCCTACAGGTTCACAATTTACTCACTTAGTCTAAGGTGTCAATTGATTATTGACTTACAATATTCAAACTTAGTATTTATATTATGATACATTACTTTTAAAATAATATATGAGCAATGCAAAAAGTTTATTCGAAGATAACAAACCCTTCATTACTCATTTTAATAGTTCTCTGAATTTGAAAAAACTCAGCTTTGTTACAGTAAACTTTTATGCAAAACACTTGATCCGAGCCCAAAGTTGAGTGTGTAAACTCTCTGTTCTGTGCATGGAATCTAGATTCTTTTTAAAAAGGGGGCGAAATTGAGTTGTCGTGTGCAGCGAACGACCTTTGTGACACGAGCAGGCGGCTCTGAATTTCTGGCTTGCTGGCTTTCTGGCGCTCAGGCTTTGTAGCCATCGACTTGAAACCCTGCCAGCCATTAGTGAGATTAAAACTATGACTAAAGCCGGGGCAGAAGTAGGGCTCACGGGGGCACAGGCTCAGTGTGGCACAATCGCAGGCCTTGGCTTTGTTTCAGCCCGAACAATGGGCGTACTCTCTCTCTGTGACGCAATGCGTACATTGTCCTTCGCAGGACAATCGCCGGAACGAGGACTTAGGAGGAGGGAAAAGGAGAGGGGCATTGAAAAAGATATACCGCTCAGTAATGCAAACATCCATAACAATTCAGTTGACACAAATGCATCGCATGGCCCTTGGAAACTATTCGCTCTAATCCAGAATCCAGAATCCAGAGGCATTGTGCGCTTACCAGCCATTCAGAGCAGAGTCCATTCCCAGCGGCTTGCAGCGCAATTTGTTTAATGCCACATCGAGTGAGGAGGCCTGCCCCAAACTGCCGCACATCTGACAGCACTGTAATTGACAGCTGATTATGCAATTCATTTGACGGGACTCATTGGATTCGTCGTATTGGATCCCGGCGAACTGCAATTAATCATTCCCGCAGCCGTGGAGACAAATTGAAGCTCCATGTTTGCGCACATAATAAACCTATTAAGCTGATGCGAGTTTGAAATCGAATCGTATGGATAACCCCTCAGTATCGCAGGGCTTTAAGCCATCGTTGGTGGTAGGAAAAGTTTTAAAAATATATAAAACCTTGTGGAATTACACCTTCAAAATTTTTAATTAAATGAAATGCTCTCCTCCTTCGTCAAACCACCAAAAAACCTCCTTCTTGAAAACCATGTTCTTGGTAAAGGCCTTTATTGTGGTTGCGCAAAATGTTACTCAAGTAAATGTGCAAAAGTATATACCTACAGCAGGGGTCAAAATAATAGCGCCAATTAAAATTGGTTTATAGTAATTATTTCTAGTTAAAGTTGGTTAAGTTTCTGTGAAGTAGATATTTAACATTTAAGTCTGACAATTTTTGTTCTTTTCTATTTTATAAACTATCTTTAATGCCACCAACTTAAACACAACTGTATTTCGAGGTTTTTCGTGAAATTTGTAGGTTCTCTTTGATGCGGTTTTCCACCAAGACTATTTACTTCTTTTTCAGTTTGATTTTGCGCATAGTCAAACAGCAGATGCTTATGAGTTATGCGGGAATATTTCAAGTTTCGGTTGCTCAAATACTTTGCAATTTGGCAGCTACTTTGAGTGTGTTCGAAACAATCAAATAGCCCTCATATCTCAAGTCGAAACCGAGCGTCAAACTGAGCGGAGAGCTTCAATAAATTGCAAAGCAATAAAGGACATGGACAAAGGACGAGGAAGGAGGGGTCCTGCCCAGGAGAAACTGGAACATTGTGCATTGTTTGCTCGGCAATATGGTCATAGCAGTTATATTAAATTCCTACAAAGGCTTCGTCTTCGCCTTCGTCTCCGCGGAGCTGAAGAAAGGCAATAAAAATCATTTAACAAAGTCAAACAACAATAAAAATTAAACTTTGCCGTCAACACAGGCAAAGAAAAGAACGAGGCAGCAGTCGAGCGTAAAAATACGCCAAAGTACACAGAAGCGGGGCGAAATTAAATAATAAATATAAATATAGCGCATAGGAGGCGAAATGCGAGCTGCGAGATTTCAGCAGGCGGAACTTTTCGCAAATTAATTTTCAAATCTGCGCTCGGCTCATGTGAGTCGGTGTCATTGTGCCAGGACCCGGAACCCAGAACCCAGAACCCATAACCCAACAAGGATCCATCCAGGACACAGCGATTTATTATGTCATGCCTCGTCAGCCAGTCAGCTAGGATGGAAGGATGGAGAATCGTGAGTGGGGAGTGAGCCGGGCATCATCATAAATCAATCCATTTGATGAGCAACACTCGCAGGACGAGGCTCAATGGGGGGATGGAGGATTTCGGGGGACGAATTTAATTACACTTAAGCAGCAGGACGAGCCAAGGATCCGTCCGGAATCGTCACACATCTGACCCCTTCTTTCCGATTCCCTTCCCCTTCTCCTTCCGATTCCTCTTTCCGGCTGACAAATAATTCCCTTCGATCTAACCACTTCGATTTGATGCCGGTTGCAATGCAATAGCAATAGCAATAGCAATATTGCTAAGTGCTCCTCGGCCTTTCCGTGACTTGACAAAAGGTACGGAATCGTTTGCCTTTGTCGTTAGTCCGATATTGGTTTTGATTCGAAAGGCCCTCGACCTGATGGCAGTATGTTTGGGCCCGTTTGTCTGTTGGCTTATGAAAGGAGTTTGCAGGCGGCCTGTTTTCTCAGACTCGCCCTGATTGATATTAGAAAACCCTGCCACTAAAATCAGGTCAACCAAGTACTTAACTGAGGGAATAATTATTGTATATTTGCAAGGTAAAGTTTTGGGTTACAAAATCTGGAATTTAATCACAAATGATTCCTGCCCCTTAAGATATTGCTTCTCCGCACACTTTGTTAGCATTTTCACATATTTGCAATCTTTTAGCGTAATCGCAGAGCCAATCAAGGAGCTGGCAACTCATTCAGCAGAAATGGAAATTACCAAGTCCCGAGGAAAGCCACATGAACTATTTCAGCAGCTCTCTGCACCTGCAGATGAAACATGTGAAATGCAAACGAGTTTTTTATCACGCACACCCCACATTTTTGGTGCAATTACATTTTTGGCAAAGGAAGCAGTCACTTTGGGGAAAAGAACGCGGGTGAAAGCCCTAAGTTTGTCATGCGAAAATCATACAAACTTGGTTTTCGTGTGCTCGCGAAAGTAATTGAGGCGGAAATCCCTAATTGGCACCTTCAACTCAGCGAGGACGACGCGGAAAAGAAGTCATCAGAAGCATCGGCAGATGAACGAAGGAGAGCGAAAGACGGAAACTTGCATCCCGCGTTGGGCGTTTTCCGGGGGGCGTGGCAAAAAGCTGGCACACGTAGCCTCATGCAAATGGGAAAACTTTGCTCATCAGCGCACACAAATTGAGTGAAATTATCAGTTCAAGTGAAATTTACACTTGCTTGTTGTCGCCTGGCGAGGCACTCTGAGAAAAGTTTCAAAAACCTTTAGAAAGAGAATGAATGGAATTGTATTTATTTACATAATAAAATCAGTAGGAAAAATCTGACTTTAAGAAAGCTATACTGGATAATATAACCTAACTATTTTATATATTTAATCTACTTAGTGGGTTATTTCTTCTTGTGTATGTGTGGTTTTCCCGGCAAGATGATAGACCTCGAATATGCAAATGTAACTCTCCACATTTCCCTCGGAGCGTTCTAATTCCGCTTAGCTGCAAATCCAATTAAACAGAGCGAGGCAGTGCCAAAAAAAAAATAGGAGGAAACATGTGTGCGATACTTTCGCACTTTTCGCCGGCATCTGGCAGCCGCGTTCTCAGGCAGATTAATGGCCAAAGAGTTTGGTGCCAAGAGCGGCGACATCTGCTAAATGGTAGCCACATCCTGCGAGGATCCGGGGCAGGACCAAAAAACAGCCAAGTGGCTGCACACATGGCGCTCTTGATAGACTCCTTCATGGCCACAAAGCAGCGACATTTTATGGCCCCTTGATGGGTTGAGTAATGCCAATGAGTAGCTCGGCATAAAACCGAGCAGTGGCATTTAATTAAAGCATTTTGGCAATCTTTCTCCGAGTGTAAAGGTACACACACTTTAAGGCACATTTATTGGTTGAATAAATATAATTTCCGAAAGAAGGATGAAAGAACGCTCTCGAAACCACATCAATCAGCAATTATATCGCATATTTCCCCCACATCCAACACTCCTCCTCTTTTTCAGCGGAGGCCACAAGCTGTGAAACATTGATGGTAACGGAGATTGTGAAGGGCAAAATCAAAGTTCATTATTGCAGCAGTTGTGCGGCAAGAACATTCGGGGGAAGTTCGCAGCTCGAACTCCGTCCATCCGTCGTCTCCACATGGCGTATACGCAATATAAATACGTAATTGCATGCAACACCAGGGAAGACGGGCAGAGCCATTGATCAACTGGCAGTCAGCCGAAAGATGAAAGCCGAGAGCATCGAGGCACAAAGGAGCGAAAGGAGCAAGGGAGCAAGGGAGCAAAGGAGCACAAGGACGAGCAGTTGGCCAGGAACGGAGGAGCTCATCAACTAAATGCAAAGTTCTTCTTCTGCCGGCAGCCTGTAGAACAAGAATAATTGACGACGACACGACGCTGGATAATGAGGGGAATCCCCACACACATACCAGTACACACACACTCATATCCTCACACAGGATATGACAGGGAAACGCATCGTCAAGCTGATGCAGACTGCTCCTTGCAGCTCCATAATCCTGCGGAAACACTTGAAAATGATGGATGAAAATTATCGTTTTCTGCAACGCATGCAAATGCGCAAAATTACTTTCACATGATTAATGCTCCACCGGGGCAAAAGCTGCTCCAACTCCATCTCCATCTCCATCTCCATCTGGAGCTCCATCATCATCGT